GTATGCACAGGGCTCCTGACCAGCAAAATGTGATCAGTCATGAGGGTGTCTTCAAAAAATTCAACTTCAATAACAAAAAACATACAATGGGATCAAGTCAACCATGTCCTAAATGGCACAACCTGGGAAGATGTCCTAAACAACACGGATCCGAACCTTTGCCTAGAAAAAAAATTAACTCTGTGGTTCTTGAGGTCTGCTCAAGGCACATTTCATTAAGAAAAAGAAAGAAGATGTGAACTAGAAGGAGATGCTCCCTATACAGACGAAGGCGAAGAATCACAGAGCTGCTGAAAGGGGCCAATATATCTGAAATACAAAGGGAGGCACTGGTCAGCGAAATAACAAATATCGAACTTAAGCTGAAGGAATCTTACAGGAGACAAGAATCTCAGGAAGAACTAAAAGTCATAAAGGAAATTAATAAAAACCCAAAATACTTCTTCTCGTATGCCAGATCTAAGGGGAAAACAACATCCAGTATGGGGCCCCTGCTTAGGCGGGATGGGACATACACAGATGACAGCAAAGAAATGAGTGAGATACTAAAGTCCCAATACGACTCAGTGTTCAGCAAGCCGTTACCCAGACTTAGGGTCGACAATCTAAATGAATTTATGAACGAGACCCAAAATTTCGTCATCTCATAAATCTCTGATATTATCCTAACACCACAAGACTTTGAAAATGCAATAAATGACATGCCCATGCACTCTGCCCCAGGCCCAGACTCATGGAACTCCGTGTTCATCAAGAATTGCAAGAAGCCCCTGCCCGGTGGCCTGGTGGCTAAAGCTCCCGCTTCACACACGGAGGGCCCGGGTTCGATTCCCGGCGGGTGGAAACATTTCGACACGTTTCCTTACACCTGTTGTCCTGTTCACCTAGCAGAAAATAGGTACCTGGGTGTTAGTCGACTGGTGTGAGTCGCATCCTGGGGGACAAGATTAAGGACCCCAATGGAAATAAGTTAGACAGTCCTCGATGACGCACTGACTTTCTTGGGTTATCCTGGGTGGCTAACCCTCCGGGGTTAAAAATCCGAACGAAATCTTATCTTATCTTATCTCACGTGCCTTCAGCATTCTATGGAGAGGGAGCAAGGACACAGGGGTCATCCCACACACGCTAAAAAACAACAGACATAGCCCCACTCTACAAAGATGGCAGTAAAGCAATTGTAAAGAACTACACACCGATAGCACTAATATCCCATATAAAAATCTTTGAAAGGGTTCTAAGAAGCAAGATCACCAATTACCTAGATACCCATCAATTACACAACCCAGGGCAACAAGGGTTTAGAGCAGGTTGCTCCTGCCTGTCCCAGCTACTGGACTACTATGACAAGGTCCTGGATGCTATAGAGGATAAAGAAAATGCAGATGTAGTATACACAGACTTTGCAAAAGCCTTCGACATGTGTGACCATGGTGTAACAGCGCATAAAATGCGTGACAAAGGAATAACAGGAAAAGTTGGCAGATGGATCTATAACTTCCTAACAAACAGAACACAAAGAGTAATAGTAAACAGAGTAAAGTACGAGGCAGCTACGGTGAAAAGGCACAGTACTCGCCACAAGGCACAGTACTCTCCACAAGGCACAGTACTCTCCACAAGGTACAGTACTCGCCACAAGGCACAGTACTCGCCACGAGGCACAGTACTCGCTCCCATCCTATTCCTCAACCTCATATCTGACATAGAGATGTAAGCCATAGCTCCGTGTCTTCCTTTGCGGATGACACCGACACAGTGACCTCCGTCGAAGACACTGCGAGACTCCAAGCGGACATCAACCAAATCTTCAAATGGGCCACTCAAAACAATATGAAGTTTAATGGGGAGAAATTTCAACTACTCAGATATGGAAAACTTGAGGAAATTAAAACTATATCAGGGTATACGACAAATTCTAACCATACAATTGAGTGAAAAACAATGTGAAAGACCTGGGAGTGATAATGTCAGAGGATCTCACCTTCAAAGGCAACAACAATTTATCAACCGCATCTGCCAGGAAAATGATAGGATGGATAACGAGAACCTTCAAAACTAGGGACGCCAAGCCCATGATGATTCTCTTCAAATTGCTTGTTCTCTCTAGGCTAGAATACTGCTGTACACTAACTGCCTCCTTCAAGGCAGACGAAATTGCTGACCTGGAGAGTGTACAAAGGGCTTTCAGGGCACACATAAGTACGATAAGGCACCTAAATTACTGGGAACGGTTAAAGTCCCTTGATTTGTAGTCCCTGGAACGCAGGCGAGAGAGATACATGATAATATACACTTGGAAAATCCTAGAGGGATTAGTACTTGCACACGAAAATCACTCCCTATGAAAGCAAAAGACTCGGCAGATGCAACATTCCCCCGATGAAAAGCAGGGGTGCCACGAGTCCACTGAGAGACAACATAATAAGTGTCAGGGACCCAAGACTGTTCAACTGCCTCCCAGCATACATAAGAGGGATTACCAATAGACCCCTGGCTGTCTTCAAGAAGCCACTGGACAAGCACCTAAAGTCATTACCTGACCAGTCAGGCTGTGGTTCGTACGTCAGTTTGCGTGCGGTCAGCAGTAACAACCTGGTTGATCAGGCTCTGATCCACCACGAGGTCTGGTCTCAGACCGAACCGCGGGGCCATTGACCACCGAAACCCTCTCCAGGTATACTCCAGGTATATATATATACATGTGTATTAACGCGTG